TATGGTACGAGGTATGGTGGGGGAACTCACTAAGCTTTGTGCTTACGGTTTTCAGTTTTGGTTTCAGGTACTTCTTTTTCAAAGGGAAAGGAGTCGGCTCGGTAGCAGCGCATCACACCATTATTTTCCGCACCATGATGTTCTTGGGATTGTACTCTGACATTATTATTCCATGACATGTTTTATGACATTTGACTTATGGGTTTATGGGTTTGATATGATATTGATGATGTTTTCAGTAAACTGTTTTATAAATTGCTTAATTAAAAATGAATTTTTTGGTCTTGAAATTTGGGATGTTACAGATTTCGAGGACGAAATGTAATTTAAGTGAGGCAGAGTTGTAACATCCGTTCTCCGGATGGGATCAGTATAGGGCATAAAGAAGTTAAAGGCATGGTTTTTGGGAAAAATAATATGTCACGACGTAACCATAGGGAAGTCACGACATGACAAGCCAAATATGGAACGCGTTCATCTGATGAATACTATGACATGGCAGTAGGTGGCCATGACGTGGCAGTTGTTCTAGACCAAGCCCATAATTTTATGGTTTCTCTCGTATTTAGGCATCTTATCCTAAGGATTAGGGTATCCTCCTCAGCCTCCATCACTCTCAAACCTTAGAAACCCTAACCTTAATCCCCTTGGTGATTCTTGGTTCATTTTGGTGCTTTTGGTAGCTTGAAGAAGAATAAGGTGTTCTAGTGTGTTGATCTATCAAGGAAACTTCATCATCACTCTTGTGCATATTTTGGTCCTTAGTAAGTCATCAAGTTTCCATCTTTGATGTTTTCCTCTTTAGATCTAGGTTTTATGTCATGTTTTGTTCCTTTTGATGTGGTTTATATGCTTTGAAGAGATATTGTTTGCAACTTTATGGTTTCTTTAAGTCCCTTAAGCATCATATATTATAGATCTAGGAATTGGTGGTGGTTGAAGACTTTGCATGAATTTTAGGTCATATTTCATCTTTTGACCTAGATTTGGGAAAGGACGTGTGTGGGGCATGCACGTCCATAATGTTTGCATTTTTAGGGATCATTAGGGTCTCTAAAACCCTTCTGGAAGTTTTAGACTAGTCATCACGACGTGGCGACTGGGTTTGGGTCGACTATGTTGTCTTGTTCTACCACGAAGTGGCCAGGAGAAGGCAACGACGTAGCGATTCTATGAGGTTGACTTGGACAGTTGACCTTAAATTTAACTTTGACCGTTGACTTTTGGCACGGTTTGACTTTTGGTCAAATTTTTATCTTTTAGAAGGTAGACTTAGGGTTTCCCTTGTGTGGTTATTATGAGGTGTTTAGCACCCATTCGTTGGATGTGAGAGCTATTAGTTGTGGACTGCATTGGCAAGGTGAGTCTTCTCACTATACTATGTAGGATGCTAGCTGTCTGTGTGATACTTACATGGAAGACCATGTGGTGGCCCCTAGCATATGTGTGAAAGACCAGATGGTGGAACCTGGTAAGTATATGCAAGACCAGGGTCTGGCCCCGATAGATATAGGTAGGATGCTAGTTGTCTTTGTGATGCTTGCATGGAAGACAAGGAGGTGGCTCTTGGTACTTGTACGTAAGACCAGGATTTGTGACACATCCCAAAAATATAGACCAAAAATTTCGTTTTTAGTTATTAATAAAACCATAGTTATCCAAAACACATGTCATAATATCTCTATATCAAAATATCATAGTATAAACATCCCAGGCTGAACAAATGGTGTGTGCACTGCAGTCATCCCGAACTTTTCCCTTTGCTACTGGAAGTACCTGAAACCAAAACTGAAAATTGTAAGCACGAAGCTTAGTGAGTCTCCCCAAACTACCACATGCCATACACATAACATGCAACTAGGAGATACGGGCCCCGCCCACTCTCATGGAGAGTCGGGCCCCGCCTACACTCCGCTATCTAGGAGATTCGGGCCCCGCCCACACTACGCTGTCTAGAAGATTCGGGCGCCCCCACACTCCGTTGTCTAAGAGATTCGGGCCCCACCCACACTCCATTGTCTAGGAAATTCGGGCCCCGCCCACACTCCGTTGTCTAACATGCATACAAGTATGACACAAACAACAAGTATATCTATTCCTATCAAGCAGTCACATATCTATACTCAAATATACTACAAGATTCGAGCCCCGACCACACTCGGCTACAATGAGATTCGGGCCCCGCCCACACTCAGCTACTGACGTATCACATATACGGGCCGACCTTGGTGCCGTAGACCCGTTCCTACTGAAGGAAACTCACCTCGCAAGGCTGACTGCTGAAATCTCGAGTGAGGAATCTCTGATGGATGCTCCCACGACTCCCCGACTATCATTATCACAATAACACTTAGTCAAAACCTGATAATTCTCCTTAGGGTAAAATGACCATTTTACCCCTGGTCAAAGTCAACGCTTCGGTCAAAGTCAAGCTTTTGGTTGACCCAACTCGTCGAGTTGCTCCATCAACTCGTTGAGTCCTAGAACCTGAAATCGCGATCTTACCGAATCAACTCATTGAGCCCCTTCACCGACTCGTCGAGTTCTACCTTTAGCTAAAAACGGGACAAACCAACTCAACTCGTCGAGTCCCTCTATGGAATCACTGAGTTCCTCTGTCTGATTGAGCCATCTCAATGGATTAAGCTTCTACCCTTCAGATCCAAGCTCCATACTTCATCTACACACTGGGAATACACTTTTAAGGGTAAAGTTTCCAACTTTACCCACTCTTAGTCCTTCGTAATGGGTTTAGCTCAAACCCTAACTCTCTAGAACATAGATCTTGGTCCACAAGCCATAATACCCTAAACCAAATCACACTATACTAGATCTAGGCTTTGAACATCAGTTGGACACGTAAAGTTCCTAGCTTTCCTACCAAGCATGGCCTCTTAGGGCTAAAAAGGCCATATTAATGCTTATAAGCTTGCATTGGGCTTCCATGGTCATAAAGTTTGCAACTTTATGCCATGGAACCCCTCTTAGATCCCAGATTTGAGATATAAGTCACTTGGGACGTCCAAATCCCAAATACCAAGGTTTTTGCACCAAAACCCTCGTAAAATGGAAGTAAATAGATCTAAGGAATGAATGATCAAGTTAGAGACTTGATTACCAAAAAGTGATGAGGATGGAAGGAAATCCCTGGATCTACTATCTTCTCCTTGAACCTTCTAGCTCCTCCTTCTTCTTCTAGCTTCAAGAACACACCAAAACACTCAAGAATGGCTCACAACTCACAAGACACTCTAGGGTTTCATGGATTAGGGTTTAGGACTTGGAGGCTGGAAATGAGGCCAAAAGGTGAGGATTAAGATGCTTAAATAGGGTGTAAAACCTCGAAATTAGGGTTTCACTCTGACAGACCTACTCGCCGAGTCGAGAGCTCTTGTCTCGTCGAGTAGATGGCTGAAATCCCGCGTCCAAGACTCAATTCTACTTGACGAGTCTGGGGCTTCCAACTCGTCGAGTAGCTCTATAAAAATGAATAATTTGTAAATAAATGCGTACCAGAAACCAGGCGTTACAATTTGGCTCCTAGTGTTGCAAGAAAAGGCCATGATTGGCTCATGGCTGATAGTGACAGTAAGACTATGGGTAGCCCATATCATTCTCTATCTTATGTATGGTATTTGGTATTTTAGAGAACTCACTAAGCTTTATGCTTATGGTTTTGTGGTTTAAACATTTTCAGGTACTTTTAGTTTCAAAGGGAATGGCCCGGCTTGACTGCACATCGTCCCCTGATAGCTTTTCCGCACTGATTATTATTGTATTACTCTGATGTTTAAAAAATATACATTTACTCTGATTGGTTTTAAACAAATGGTTATACGGGTTTGATAGTTTGAAATGAAAAATTGTTGTTGGTATGTGTGGGACGTTATAATCGATGTCATCGTCATCGACCTCCGCCACGTTGACGACTTCTGCCTTCTTTCATCCCTCTTTATTTCCGGTTTTTAGAAACGTCGCCATAGACCACCCCCTCCATCGCCGCCAGCATCAAATGAACCTAGAGAGAGAGAGAGAGAGAGTGTGTGTGTGTGTGTGTGAGAGTGAGAAGTGGAGCTCTACTTGTCGAAGTAGGTAGATCTAGATCTGACGATGATTTGGAGTTCTAGATCCAGACCCGACAACGATTCGGCAACGTTCCAGCGGTGACGGTGGTTCCAGATCCGATGATGCTCCTCCTTGATGGCGCCAGTGAAGGTGGTTGGAGGTGGCCGGCGGTGGTGGATGGTGGTTTTATAAAGATAGAGATGTTGCTTGGGTGTGGTTATTAGGGTTTTATTTTATTTTTTTAGTTTTTTTAATTATAAAATTTTTTAGTAAATAAAAGAAAGTGGAAAAGTAAATCACAAACACAGTAGTCTTTTCAAGTGCTTTCAAATTTTCTGAGGGACCAAATTTGCATGATATTTTCGATTTTAATCCAACCATGCGGCATTTTTCTTTTTACCTTAAAATGCATTTTTTTGATAAACCACATGCTGTTATAAAATAAGTTTACTGACAACTTTAATAATGCGATAGATATACTTGATTTGAACGAAATGATATGATACTACGTTACAACGATATTTGATTCCTCTACAACAAAACAAGATCAAACAAAAGATGTTGCAAAGAGATGTTTTTTATTCATAAGCGTAAAACAAGGATATACAAGTAATTACTGTCGGTGGTTTTGAGCAGCATCAAAACAAGTATTTAAAATTATGATTATTTATCCCTAAATAGTGAAAAAAGTACATTCAAGTATTCCACACCCCTGAAATAAGTCAACTTTTCATGCAAAAAGCACCATCAATTATGTTGGCACTTTCGAACTTTTCAACGTATATATTGCAAACAAACCATCATTGTCAAATAGGCATAAAAGTTAAAGCAGGCATTAAAATTTACAGGAACAAAGCCGTTATAGACAAATTATGCAACAATAAATATAAAACACAAAACATATGATATTATTATATCCAAAATGTAAACTTTGGCTGAGATATCAAAAAATCACATTTAATTTACAGAGGAATTGGAGATACAAAGAATCTAATTCCATGGAACAACTTTAGTACTAGATATGCCAGGTTTTTTACAGAGATTTGTTTATTCTTCCAAACTCCTCTGTATATCATACATACATATTATATATATTTATATATATCTATAGTCGAATCAATGTTCAAAATCTTCTACTTTTACGTATACAAATACAACATCCCAAAAGAAGAAAATACCCCCATATCCATACCTACGACCTTTGGAACGATGAATTACTCTCATCATCCGAAGAACTACATTGTCTTCTTCCATGGAATCCAAAAACCGGAGGCAAATTCAAATTCGGGTTCACCGGAATCGGAAACTTATATGCCGAACTTATCACAATCCGTTCATTTATGGATCCAACTTCTTTGCAAACACGATCAAGAACATTCAAGAAATCTCTCACCACCATAAAGATTCTAAACGGATGAGCTTCTTCTTTAGCTGAATTCCCATGGAAATACTCTGTGATTTCTTTCACTAAAGAAAGCGCAACACTTTCTTGAGCTTGAATCCTAATAATCTCCTCTTCCGCCATCTTCAAAAACCCATTCATCGACCCCGAAAATCTCGTCTCTAAGGGCGTTGTTGTGTCATTTAACCTAACAACCTGGATAATGTCCGAAATACCCTTGGAAAGCTTCATGACATCGCTATTAAGAACCTCGGAATCCATGGATGCGGCTTTTTTGACATTTGAAAGTTCCGAACTTATCCCCGCAACGATTTGAAGACCGAGCTTACGGGATTTGGTGTCATCGGGGTTAGTTTCGGTATTTGATAGGCGGGCCCCTTCGCTTTTGATTATTTCTTGAACAACAAAATGCAAAAGAGTTGTTTTTCCATCTGTGCCCTTGACATCAACGAGTTTGAGAAGTGTGTCGAGTTTGAACGCGTGTGCATCACCGCGATTCGTCCCGACATTCATTCGGTTCCCGGTTTTCAGAACCGCTTCCAGAAGTTTTAAAAACATTCGGCTGTTTCTAAGTTCTTCACATGCTACCTGAAATAAACGTAAAATTACGAAATTACCCCTGACTTTAAGTATCTGGTTCTTTGAAATCGGAATAGTCGCTTTGAAAAGACACATCCAATGATCCAAACACCCTTTTAGACAGTTTGGCCATAACGAAGGCACATAAATTAGGACAAAAAGTGGGAAAAAAAAAAAGTAAAAAACTTTATTTCTAGTTTTTGTTTTCTGTATAAAGTAAAAAAGAAGTGGAATGACATAAAGCTGTAGTGATGAAATGGAAATGTACCTCGAGTGTCTGAAAAGAGCGTTTAAGGTACTCGACCTCTGAATCAAAATTGGATATGTAAAGCATTGCATCGACTCGTTTAAAAGCAAACGGTACATCAAGAACAGCTTTCAGAAACTTTTCAGCTGGCCCAAGCTTCATGGGTGTATCATCTTTATACTCTTTCAGCTTCCGTTCTTCTTCTTTCGTTGGAGCCATTTTTAATAAACTCTCAAGAAGCTCTGTTCCAAGAGTATCTGCATTGCCTGTATAATCATCCAAAAATGTTAAATAAACAGAACCCAACAATGAAATTGTTATAGAATTGAAGTAAATTATAATTACCTTCTAAAAGTGCATCACAAACTTCCTCAATTGTCACGTTAAGTGCCCTGAGTAAAATCGCAATGTTTTGGGATTTTTTAGGATCAAGAACGCGGGTTTCTTGTCCACTGGGTGAGGGAAGAATTGGGCGTTTTGTGGTGGATGTTTCGTTGGAATTACTTGAGTTTGGTGTCTTTACGATGAATAATGACTCGATCATTTCCTCATTTAATCTGTAATTAAGAACAATAAATCATATAAGATAAAGCAAAATTACGAATTTGAAGAGTAATTGGATATCTTACTTAAACGAGCTAGACTTGAGTTGATCCCAGACCATTTCACGATCGGAGCTTGCTCTTACTTTATCCCAGTGAAGTGGTTTTAACTTTGGTTTTGGGGTCTCATGATTTTCTTGATTTTCCGGCAGCAATTCAATTGGTGAAACCAGTGGTTGATCGTGGATTGGTGGTATGGGTCTTGCCGGTGTGATTAAGACTGGCGGTCGAACTGGTGGTGTTGGAGTTCTTGGACTTGGGTTTTCCCAGTGCTTTGGTGGTGGTGGTGGTGGTGGAGGTGGCGGAATTCTAGCTGGCGGAGGTGAGTATTGTTCACTTGATGAATCTGATAGTCTGGGAGAAGACTCTAGGCTGTCTTTGCTTAATCGGATATCTGGAGGAGGGATTACCAGAGGCTGTGGCGGCGGTGGTGGGGGCGGAGGAGCTAAGCGAGTCGGCGGCGGAGCAGTTTGAATTGCATCAAGGTCCGGCGATTTTGGCCTTGATCTTATTGGACTCAAGCTAACCGGCGGCGAAATACTTAGAGAAACAGACCTTGCCGGAGAACCCGAACTTGAAGATGAGCATGATGAGGAAGAACCGGACCCAATTATTCTCCGCGAGTCATAAGTATCAACCGGCACGGCGGCGAACGCTGCTCTAGAACCGGATCCGGTGCCGATCGAGTCTCTTGGAGAATAGAACTCTTCAAGTTCTTCATCTCTAGAAGATTCAGCATCCGCATTTTCAAAATTATCATTCCTAAGATTGCTTTGAGTCCGTCCTCCGTTACCACCGACACTTACAAGAGGCGGCAATGGGCGGAGTTCCGGCGAATCCAGTTTTCGCAGATTTGAATCACCATCAGCAGGATTATCACGAGCGCTTGATTTAGTAGAATCAATTCCACCGTGAGAATTAACAAGCGTACCAAGATAAAGAAATTCAGCACTAGTTTGCGACGGCCGAGTGAGCTTCGGAATCCGATTAGAACTGTTATCACTACCACCACCGCCACCATTATTAACATTACAACTAACAACTACTCTAGTACTACTGTCGGATCTACGAGTTTTCTCATCGCTAAAAGATCTAGAATCTTGATCATACCCTCTTCGCTTCTTAATCCGTAAATAAACAACGATTGCTATAACAATGGCGGCAGCAATCACCAGTGTAACCGCAGTCGCGATGAGTTTTGATGAAACCGGTTTCGATTTGGGGGAAGTGGGAAGGTTGAGTGAGGATATATTAGCCGGAAAAGAAGCAGACGTAGTCGACTCAGACGGCGGAGGCGGGGGAGATGGAATAGATGGGAAAAACGGCTGACCATCCGGCGGCGATGGGTTTGTCGTAGTGGGGTTAGGTGTAAACGGTACATCAGATGACGACGACGACGGAGGTACACCGGGTGAATCTTGTGGGAAGAACGGTTGGTGCAGCGTCCGGCGGTTGTGGACGGCAGTGTCGGTGGCTTCGATGCCAGATTTTGTACATCTTAACATGAAAATGAAGGGGAAAACGAAGAAGAAGATGGACATTTTCAAGTATAGGTTAAAAGAGTAAATGCAGGAGTGATTATTGGGTGGGGCTCGTTTATTTCTTGAAATTGAGATTGGATTGACGATTGATATGGGAAAGGAAGAAAGAGCGAGAGAGATTCTCCATGAAAGGGTGTTGAAGCAGTGGGTGTGTGTGAATGATATTGCAGTAATTTCTAGAAGGTGAAAGTTGCAGACTTGAGGTGGGAGGTTGTGTGTTTACAGCTAAGATTTAGGTAATTGGAAATGGCAGACAGGATTGGTATTTCGTACCCCAACCTTTGGTTTGAATTTTGTTTTTTTAGGCCAAGATTAATTAATGACTACTTCAACAATAACGTACCATTTCCTATGCATATTGTACTTTTTTCCTAAAAAAATTAATTCTCGAGGTTCCCAAAATAAATAATATAATTACATTATTGGAAATATATATTATTTCATCGAATTTGATTTTGATTTTCTTATAAATTAAACAATCATATTTTAAAAATGGCAAAATCATTTACATTTAAGGAACTATTTTTTTTACACACTAGAAAAGATTCCCCGGCGTTGTCGGGGTCGGAAGGTATTGTTGTGTAAAGTAAAGTAGCATGTTGGTTGTTTTTTGTCCGTTAATGTGAGGGTAATTTGGTCTTTTCAGGTAGTAGGGACTGAATTTGTCACCATGGGTAAACCATATGGACCATTTATGTAAGTTTGGCGGTGGTGGTGGTGGTGATGTCAGACGGTGGGTGGGTTTATGGTATTGGGTGAGTATTTTCTAATAAATAAAACATTAATTTAAAACGAAAAAGAGAATGTTAAATCTGGTAAACCACAGGGACCAATCGTGTAATTTTGTCTAACAATAATAATAATAATGATGAGGGACCATTTCTGCCAAAAGACAAAATGCTAATAATATGTAATAAAAGGCGAGGGTTATGAAAAATTCAAACCAAAGTGAAAGGGTTGTTTGTGAACAAAAGCATAAAGATGAAGGGTCAATGTTGTAAGTTGGAGGACCAAAATTGACAAAAAATGTGTCACTTTACTGTTAAAATCTTTCATAACTTTAATATATATATATATATATATATATATATATATATATATATATATATATATATATATATATATATATAATATTCATATATTATCATTGTCATCAGCTATCTCAGTTATTAATGGTAACATGTGAACACATTTAACAAGTTAAATTGTCAAATGTGTACAAAAACAGAAACTACTCAAATATGAACAAAACGAAAAGTTAATTACCCTGATAATTCATTTTCTCCACTTTTAATAGCAATTTTATTTTTTATATTTGTTTGTATTATTTTTTTCAAACGTTATTTTTAAAGTATTCATAATGTCCTAAATATTAAATTAATATTGATCAATTATAAACTTTACTTTTTAATTAATAAATATGTTTTTCTTTTATAAAACATTTTATATAGCCTCTTATATATTTTTTTCTTTTGTTTTAAGCATATACAATATTTTTAAAGTAAACAATATTTAACAATAAAATTAAATTAAATTAAATATGTAACAATTGATGGAAATCGTAGGTTACAACAAGAATGCTCTAAGCGGAAAAACAATTATAACAATTAATCGTATTAGGCCACATGCAACCTAAGGGATCTATGTTTTTCACATAAAGGCAACGTACTATGAATTATCAAACTACAATAATCCTAATGAAATCAGAATTCATGAAGGAATATTACATACTATTGATTTATTATAGTAAACAAATCAAATCCAATAGCTCTTGTAGCCATTTGGAAGCTAGCACCATAAATCTCGTGCCTCTAATGTTTCACACCCAAACCTTAACAACTATAGAATACATTGAGGAGAGAGGAGAAGAGGGGAATTTCAGCTGGCTTCTTTATCAAAAGAGTGTGGCCGAAATTGCAAGTGAATGGCTTTATTTATAGTTGAACCAGGAAACCCTGATAACCCTAATTTGAATATAGGATTTAGGTCATTTTTGGTCACTTAACTTTTGGTTTTGAGCTCATTTGATCAGTTAACTATTTTTAAGTTTTAAAAGGTCATTGAACTTTTGGCTTTATGCTCATTTATACACCTAACTTTTGGTTTGGTCACTTAACTTTTGGATTTGTGCTCATTTAGTCACCTAACTTTTAAAATTGTGCTCATTTAGTCACTAAACTTTTAAAATAAAGCTATAAAAATGAGCACAATTTTAAAACTTAGGTGACTAAATGAGCACAATTTTAAAAGTTAGGTGACTAAATGAGCACAAATCTGAAAGTTAAGTGACCAAACCAAAAGTTAGGTGACTAAATTAGCACAAAGCCAATAGTTCGGTGACCTTTTAAAACTTAAAATGAGTTAAGTGACCAAATGAGCACAATGTGAAAAGTTAAGTGACAAAAAATGACCTAAACCCTTGAATATAATACTATTATATTAAATTATGTAATTATCTTACTTCCTGTTTATCTCTAAGGGACATTCCAGAAACCCTAGAATGGGTCAAAACCGTCCATCTTCTATAGAGGGTTATAGAATCCTTTTTGTTCAACTATTGAACAATTATAGCTTAGGTCCTTGCACTTTTAATTAATCCAAATTAATGCCAAAAGTAATTTTAATTAATTTCTGATTAATTCTTAATTAAATATTACTATTTTTAATTAATATATTATTTTCATAACATATTAATAAATTTATTTATTGTTATTTATTAATCATATAATAAATCAATAAATCAGTATTTCTCTCTAAAAGTCATCCTATTTAATTACTATATTTGAGGGCAATCCAAAAGGACTTTGTTAATAATTCAAGTACATATTAATTCAGTTAATGGCTTAGACATTTAATCCAACAGTATCCCACTTGGATAAATCTTTAACTGCAATTACTGGTATAACTACTAAATTAGATAGCAAAGTGTGCTTCCATAGCAACTGTCGAACTCTGATCTGACCAGACACTGGCCCTAAGATAAGGGATCAACTATTCCTCCGTTCTACAAGATATCGTACAGACATGAGACATGGATTAGAATCAATCTTCATTGTCCTAAGTTTTGTTTCCCGATTTTTGATTTGTGATGACGACATAAGACTTCAAATTGAACACATCAATTGAGTCATGGTTGGGCCCAACACTATAAGTCAACACCAAATCACCGAGTGGCCCAAAGATATCGCTTTTCCCGTTAGGACAAAAGGAACGAATAAAATTTGACTTATATGCTTATATCCTTTACTCACCAAATCATACATGATATTGCGTTTTATAACATCATGATACTAACGCGTTTTCGCAATACCAATACACAACCAACTTGTAAATTACAACTCATATATCTCTGTTTCAAGAATATAAGATATTATCGTTTCATAATTGCTTGTGATATAATCCATTAAGTAATTCTCTGAGTGTGGGTTAATCCAATACTTAAATCTCCATTTCTAAGTACTCATGAATGTTGTAGAAATACAATTGTTATGTCTAACTCCCTTAAACAATCTACAATCCAATACATGGCAGTCTTAATTCACTACTTACTTCCCAAAGTATGAGCGACGGTGGAATTTAAATAATTAAATTATTCGGGAAGTGAAACATGCAAAACGAAACACAAGAATAAATAATTGACAAAGGCAGTAAACAAACTCATAAATAATATTTATTATTTAATCACCAAAATCAATTACATTTATTTTGTTACAAGTTTGAAACTAATCATCTAGCTACTAAAACTAATGTTATCTCTCAAACCAATGCTCCTAGCATGTTGATTATGCTTAATCCTACTCAGAACCTTTTGTGAGAGGATCTATAGGATTATCTTCTGACGAAACTCTCTTCACTATGAGATAACATTCTTCAACTCTATTTCTGATATAATGGTATTTTCTGTCGATATGTCTTGATTTACCATGATCTCTCGGTTCTTTGGTTAAAGCAACCGCTCCTTCATTATCGCAGAAAAATTCCATTGGTTCCTGAATGGTTGGAACTACTCCAAGATCTTCGATGAAGTTCTTCAACCAAGTTGTTTCCTTAGATGCTTCACTTGCCGTTATGTACTCTGATTCACAAGTAGAATTAGTCATTGTGTCTTGCTTGGAACTTTTCCAAATAACTGCTCAACCATTTAATGTAAACACCCAGCTAGATTGAGAACAAAAATTGTCTCTATATGTTTGAAAGTTAGCGTCACTATACCTAGTTACTCTCAACGTATCACTGCCACCAAGGACTAGAACCATGTCCTTTGTCCTTCGCAAATACTTAAGAATGTTCTTAATTGTTGTCCAATGAACTTTGCCAGAATTTCCCCGATAGCGACTAACCATGCTTAAAGAAAAGGACACATATGGGCGAGTACATGTCATAACGTACATGATCGATCCTACAGTCGAAGCATAAGGGACTCGACTCGTATCAGCTATCTCTTCATCCGTACTTGGGCTTTCACTCTTACTCAATTTGGCATTGCTCTGAATAGGTAGCTCTCCTTTCTTGGAATTTTCCATACTGAACTGTTTTAGTACCTTGTCCAAGTATGTACTTTGACTAAGTCCAATTAGTCTGTTCTTTCTATCTCTCAAAATGTTTATCCCAAGAATATAGGCTGCCTCTCTTAGACCCTTCATAGCAAAACACTTTCCAAGCCAAGATTCCACTTCATTCAAGGTTGAAATGTCGTTTCCCATGAGTAGTATGTCATCAACATACAAAACTAGAAAATTTACTATACTCCCACTAGCTTTGACATACACACAGGACTCATCCTCACTTCTAGAAAAACCAAATTCTTTGACTTTTTCATGAAAGCAAAGATTCCAGCTGCGAGATGCTTATTTCAATCCATAAATGGATTTTTCAAGCTTACACACTCTATTGCAAAACTATGCATCAACAAAACCCTCTGGCTGACTCATGTGAACATCTTCAGCCAACTCCCATTAAGGAAAACAGTTTTGACATCCGTCTGCCAAATTTCATAATCATGAAATGCAGCTATGGCGAGCATTATCCCAATAGATTTAATCTTAGCCACTGGTGAGAAGGTCTCATCATAGTCAACCCCTTGGGTTTGAGTAAAGTCATTCGCAACCAATCGTGCCTTAAAGTAAACAGTATTTAACAATAAAATTAAATTAATTAAATATGTAACAATTGATGGAAATCGTAGGTTACAACAATAATGCTCTAAGCAGAAAAACAATTATAACAATTAATCGTATTAGGGCACATGCAACCTAAGGGATATATGTCTTTCAC